TGGATCAAGGCCGTTAACTCTGAGGAGGCACGTGTGAGTAGAGTGTGCAAGGAGGTGGAGCTATGCATGCAAGGATGGAAGGGCAAGGCTGACTTCCAGGTTGCGGAGATGGATGACCACGACATGGTGCTGGGGCTAGAGTTCATGGACAGGAACAACGTCGCACCACTACCATGCCTTGGTGCGTTGATGATACTTGGAGGTGAGGAAGGCAAGGCCGCATGCATGGTGCCGCTCGTGGGCAGGAAAGAGAGTCCAGAGGTGACAGTCAACACGATGGAGCTCGTGAGGACCTCACATCTCCCAAAGGGCGCTCGTACATTTGGGCCAAGGACATATGCGCAAGTGCTGATGACCTGCGAGAGGCTGGGTCAGCTGAAGAAACCATGACGAGGGAGTCACGGAAATGGGTGAGGGAGAATGTCAAGCCCCGCCTATGGAGGTTGTACCACGCAGGCGACACGCAGACGCTGAGGAGGACGCTGCATGGCAACTGCATGGCAAGTGGAGTTTCTAGAGTCTTCCGGAATAGTCTAGAGTTATGTGGAAGATTCTAGATATGTGTAGAAATGTGTAGAAGTGTGTGGAAGGTTCTAGAGTTCTCCAGAGTTGTGTGGAGTAGTATGGAGAATTCTAGAATGTTGTAGATACTAGTAGATAAGTATGGAAGTGTGAAGAAGGTGGGAGAAGATTCTAGAGAATCAATCTCCACCGTTGGTTAGAATGCATCCTAGCCGTCCATTGGGGATGGGGATGCCTATAAATAGAGGTAGGACTTCATTTTGTAGGCAACAAGTCCTAGAGTGAGTCTTGAGAGCCTTGTAGAGAGCTTTAGTGTTAGCCTTGTACAAAGTATTCTTTGAAGTAATAGAAGTGTTCTTTCCTTGCCAACTTAAGTGCCTTAGTGTGTGTGAGTGTGCAAGCCAAGTGAGGAGAGGGCGAGAGCAACTACAACACTAGTAAGCGCACGAGGGGAGTGTGTTGGCTAAGGTGTGCACGGGAGTTAGGCTGACCAAGTATTTGCGAGAGTGAAAGTAACGTCTTGGTGCCGCACGGGAGCAGCTAGAGTGGTGCTGAAACTCTAAGCCCGTGACATTGGCCTTTATACAGTGTTTGCTTGGGCAAACTTTGTTGCCCAATCATGCTTGGGTTTGGTTTGTGGCCAAAGACCCTTTTCTGTAATTACCTTTTTATCAATATATTTGTTTCATCTTTGGGGGAAAAACACACACACACTTGATGTGGTGTTACACAGTAAATAATTTGTGTGATGTAAATATATTTTATACTCACACATTCGCTCACTTGTTACTTCCCTCTTATCATTTCTGGTGACAAAAAAATAAAAAAGAAATAGCGACACTCACAAGTCACAACACACATTTACGTGATGGGATTTAAAGAATAAGACAAACATGCGAATATGCGATCCAATGAGTGACAAAGGGCCTTGAAATGAGGGCTTGGATTTGAACGGAATTTGGTTACCCAACAACTTTTCAGTTATGACTTGGTAAGTTTCTTCACGTATAAGCATATTATTTTCTTTATGCATTGGATGATTTAGAAGAAAGGAACCTGAATATATGGAGCATATTCTTTTGGTTGCGGCCTTTGTACGCATATAACTTTAATTAAAATTTTCCCATAAGATATTCCTTAGCACATGGTATATTCCTCCCCTTTTTCTTTTCTTGTATGATTTTCGTGGGAAGGAATCACACTATAATATTTTTTTTTTTTTTTTTAATATATATATCAAACACCATGCCATTGGTAATAGAAATTACAATTACTTAAATATTTTCAAAACTTATGAGTTCTTTTTGTTCGTTAGATTCCGTTGCAGTTATCAAGAACTTAAAAAATAAAAATTTATTTTCAAAGAATTATAAAAAATAATCATCTAAATATATATCAAATGTAAACTTTCAAAAACTAATTTTTAAAAATTATCAATCAATCAAAATTTTGAAAGTTCTTAAATTTTCAGTTCTCTCTATCACAAAATTGAACTAGCAGACCATCTCTCTCTTCGCTTCACTATGTTTAGTTTACTCCAATCAATGAAAATGATATTAAATAATAGTGAACCGTTTATTTTATACATTATTGTCATATTATATGCGACGAGGGAATGAAACAAAAATCACTCTATGTAATACCAAATTTGACCTTCAATTATTTATAAATGTTTACTATTTCAAAATTTATATAATGAGTGTATACCAGTGAAAAAATACTATAAAAATTTTCATTCATTTTCTTCCAACCAAAGAAAAAAATATATAGTAAAGTCATCTATTATTTCTACTGCCCGTTCTAAAAAGTGACAGAGATATCTATCATTTCTTAAGAATGTATAAAAAATTTCATTCATTTTCTTACGACCAAAGAAAAAAATATATAGTGAAGTCATCTATTATTTCTACTACCCGTTCTAAAAAGTGACATAGATATCTGTCATTTCTTAAAAATGCCTCACCCATCATTAGGAATGGCAATTTGCCTCGCAGGGATGGGTACCTGCCTCACCCCGCCCCGTTTATAGCGATTTTGAGGAATCATTTAACTTATTTGGGCGGGAATGATTTTTATCAATGAAAGCTCGTTCGGGTTTGGGGCGAGAGTTGGAGAGGCCATTCCGCCCTGTCCCGCCTCGTTTAGGTAGGTAAATTATTAAATTATTCTTATTTTATTATGATATATAATTAGCTCTAGAAACTCTAGGTCGCTTTTACTCACTTTCTCGGCCGTTCTAGAGAGTTATAGAGCCTTACAAACTAAGAACGCTCATACCCTTAAATATTATATTAAATTATTGATTGCCTATTTTTTATAAATTTTTTCAATAATTATATAATTGTGTTTGAGGAAAAAAAAATTAAAAGGAGAAATTCTAGAATTAAATGGAGTGAAGCAGTGCCCGCGAGATAAAAAAAATTAAACGGGTGGGGATGAGTGTAAAGGCCCCTTTTTGACAAGAACAGACAGAAATTTCTAAACCATTACATAGACAGAGGAGGATACACCTACTCAAAATCGCCTCTTTGCCATTCCTACGCCATCACCTTTGTTTTCTCTCTCTTGCATCTATTTGTTTATACCTCCCACCAAACAAGGCAATAGAATTTATAGCCACGTTGTATATCATTTTTCAATTTGACGGAGAAAGTCAAATATTTTCATCGGAAGTCTAATGGTACCAACTATAGTAAAAACCCTCCTATAATAACGTTTAACTCAAGGATGTTATTGTTAATAAAATAAACGGGCAACACGAAGTTTGCACGTGGCAGTCTAGGTTTGACCAATTGGCTCAATCTTATTTCTCTTGTATTTGTGTTTTTTTTCTCCTATCTTGTGAATTAGGAAATCTAGATGAACATTATTTTAAATCATATTTTATATTATTATTTTTGAAACTTGGATAAATTAATAGTAAATATTTTCACTCATATTATGAAGATTGAGAGTTCTAATTTATTTGGAATCACTCTTAAATATTTTTTTATTTTTAATTAAAAAAATAATAAGTCTTTCGACCTTAATTACCTACTTTTCTCCGAATATAATATGGTTGGATTCCATTGAAATTCTTAAAAAAAAATTCCGTAAACATCTCTTTTTCTTCGACTCATTCCCAACCACGTTATATTTGGAATAAGAGTCGATAATTAAGATTGGAAGATCTATCACTTCTCAATTAATTACTTAATATATAAAACATAAACCAAATATGCTCGAAAGATAATGAATTATGAAATCATCATAAAATATTATTAAAAAAATTATTATTTTTGAAACATAATAAATATTTCAAGTATATCACTTATTTCCGCATCAATTGATTAATTCGATAATCATAGAGTAAAAACCATATTACTAATGGTACCAACTATAGTAAAAACTCTCCTATAATAACGTTTAACTCAAGGATGTTATTGTTAATAAAATAAACGGGCAACACGAAGTTTGCACTTGGCAGTCTAGGTTTGACCAATTGGCTCAATCTTATTTCTCTTGTATTTGTGTTTTTTTTCTCCTATCCTGTGAATTAGGAAATCTAGATGAACATTATTTTAAATCATATTTTATATTATTATTTTTGAAATTTGGATAAATTAATAGTAAATATTTTCACTCATATTATGAAGATTGAGAGTTCTAATTTATTTGGAATCACTCTTAAATGGTTTTCTATTTTTAATTAAAAAAATGATAGGTCTTTCGACCTTAATTACCGACTGTTCTCCGAATATAATATGGTTGGATTCTATTGAAATTCTTAAAAAAAAATTCGTAAATATCTCTTTTTCTTCGACTCATTCTCCACCACGTTATATTTGGAATAAGAGTCGGCAATTAAGATTGGAAGATCTATCACTTTTCAATTAATTATTTAATGTATAAAACATAGACCAAATATGCTCGAAAGATAATGAATTATGAAATCATCATAAAATATTATTAAAAAAATTATTATTTTTGAAACATAATAAATATTTCAAGTATATCACTTATTTCCGCATCAATTGATTAATTCGATAATCATAGAGTTATATAGTGCATAGAGTTATACAGTGCCAGTGTGTATATTTTTAAATTAGGATTCACAAGTCAATTATTTTCAGTGACAGTCTTACGTTTTTTCCAACTATATTAATAAAACGGTGGTATATTATTGTCAATAACATTAAAGGCAACGGTGATAATGGAAAGAAGACGAAGTTTGTACGTGGCATTCCACATGTAAACCACTTGGCTCAATCCTAACCGTTTAATTCTGCACCGAATGATCCAACCGCTGATATCAAACAAATACGCATGTCAGGAAGCAGAGGGAGCGTGGTAAACTGAAAACGGTCGCATGCAGCAGGTGGCGCGCGAACTCCAACTGCCACGTCGGATCCACCTGTCATACTACCATTCAGAAACACCCACGTGGAAATACGGTTAATTCGAACTCATTCTCGCCTTTATAAGAAGAAAGCCAATTGGTAAAGTTTGATTGCTTCCACACTACGAATTCGTGTTGTCTGTGTTTCGAGGTCTCCGGCGTCGTTTCAGGAGTCCCAATCTCCACCGGAAAGCAACGAACATGGAGGTCTCCGGCGTCTTTTCCCGGCGGCTTCATTGCTTCCCGAGCGCCGGAATCGAAGCTCACTCTCACTCCTTTGCAAAACCCTTTTCTCCGGGCGCCTCTATTGACGTCGGCGCTATGTTTTCCGGCAATTCACGTCTGATGGGTTGTCGGGTGTCGACCGGACCCATAAAGATATCTGGGTTTTCCGATGACGGACATGTGAAATACTATTATGGGTCTTCACCGGCGATCAGATGCGGTTGTGGGAAGAGAGAGAAGGAAGAGGGTTCGTCCGGTACGGCGACTGTGAAGAAATTAAAGAAGAAGATGAAATTGCTGAAGGGTTTGTCGAAGGACTTGTCTAAGTTCTCGGATATGGGTTTTGGATTGGGTCCTGGTGATGGTTTGGTTGGTGAAGTCAAGGGAAAGATGATCTCGGTATGGATTCTATTATTGCCCTTTTGATTTTTATTTATTGGATTGGATAGTATTAGCTGCTAAAAAATGATCTGATTTAACATGTTTTGTTGATTGATTGTTTGATCTTCCTAATTCCATGAGTATCTTAATCTAAGAAATGGGTTTCTTAATTCTACTTACCAAAAAAGAAATTCTTGATTTTATAGTTTAGATTTACAGGACTAGTTGTCAAAATTTTGAACAACTAGGTGGTAAATTCTAATTAGAACATTTTTAGTGATTACACAATCCTTTTTCCAACTAGTTTGGAACTCCATTTCACTTTTGGGAGCATCGAATTGACTTTTTTTTTTTTCCTTGTCCCCTAAATGGTGTTAATTCAAATGTTTATGGATGTATTCATTGATAGTGTTATCGTTTCTTTATCTTCCAGTACACCCATTTCGAAGTCTGCATTTTGACTTGTTTTGTAGCTGTTCAATAAATTTTATAGCAAGATAAAGGAAAGTTCAAAGTTAATGATCTTTGATTTTGGGTATTTAAAAAATAATTATTGCGTCACATTTGTTTTCCCCTCGTCACCCCAATTGGTAAACAATTTTCATCTGATTTGACCAAAGTCAGTTCAAAGTTTATGATTTTGACTTTTTGAGTATTAAAAAATAAATTATTGTGTCAAAATTTTCTCCATTCATCTGGGTGTTAGGTAAGCAATTTTCCATCTTCTTTGACCAAACATTGTTGTTGTTTATTTCTGATTTACATAGTTGGTAGTGGCGGGCGGTGTACTTCATTCTGATCTGACTCAGTTTGGCTTGAATTTTTGACTTGATTTATAAATCTTTTGACAATCTGAACAGGAAATTTAATTTTTTAATGCAACTAGTCAACTAGTTAGTGAGTTAGCTAGGAATCTTCATATTACCATGCAATTGAGTCTAATTCAATAGTACTTGATTGCTCAGTTTGGATGTGAAGAGATAACCATGTCTTCTATTGATTCACTTGCGATTCCATTTTTCGAATATTCTCTGAAATTTTTTATGAGACGGACAAATATGCCTCAGTTTTGCTTTGAATTGAACTCTGATTGAATTACTAGTAGTTTTTGGAGTCTTATGTCCAAATTGTCTATATGCATTGTGTGCAGGAAGCAGCAGAGCTATTGCTAGGGCAATTGCAACAGCTACAAGCAGATGAGAAGGAATTGAAGAGGAAGAAGAAAGAAGAGAAGGCTAAGTTGAAAGCTGCACAAATGCAAAACATGGTTGATTGTGAAGAATCCTCAGACTCTTCTTCAGAATCAAGCGACAGTGATTGTGAGGAGGTGGTTGACATGAGCCGCTTGAAGAATAAATCTTCCACACAACCAATACCGAATGAATTTCAATCCAGTACTCAAGAAATAACATTAACCCTTCCAAGCACACTAACCCAAGAAGGGAACACATCCGAGTTGCTTTCAGTTATTCAAGAGGCAACATCCACCCTTCCAAACATCCTCTTCCAAGAAGGGAACACTAATTTTGAAGTTAGCAGTTCAATGATTCTTGACCGTGAATGTTGCACCAGAACTAGTACGAGTTGTAGTAATGTAGGTAGTGTTGGTTGTAATAGTGGAAATAGCTTATTCAAAGGAGCATCAGAGAAGAGGATTGAGGTCTGCATGGGTGGTAAGTGCAAGAAATCCGGTGCTCCAGCGTTGTTGGAGGAATTCCGGAGGGTAGTTGGTGTTGAAGGTACTGTTGTTGGATGCAAGTGCATGGGCAAGTGCAGAGATGGTCCTAATGTGAGGGTTTTAAATCACATTGACAGGGTTGAAGCTGATGAAGTAGATGATTCTGTTAGGACTCCATCCAATCCTCTGTGCATCGGAGTTGGTTTCGAGGATGTGGGTTTAATTGTGTCCCGTTTCCTCGCAGATTCACCGAAGGATTTGGGACTGGCTGCTGCATCTTAGAAAGGAGTCTCCTCCCCTTTACAACTTAAGTTGTATAAAGGTTTGAATTGGTGTATTTATGTCATGTGATTTATAGGTTTGTGGTTTTACTGTGACTTGTGATGTTTAGAGAGGAAATCCTTGTTTTTTACTTGTACAAATGTAAAAAGGTTTTTTTGTGCAATTGAAGTTTTTGTCAAATACATCCATTACAACATTTTTATTTATTTATTATTATTTTTTTTTATGGTACTTGGCTTCTTCAACACAGAGAACGTCCAAATTGTAAAGAAATAGAAGAAATGAAGCCCTTATTTGATTTTTTGAAGGTTTACAAGTCTTGTAATTAGTATTCAGAACATACAATGCCAAAAATTTTGAGGGAGGAGATAGAATGAGCTAGCTTGTGGGAAGAAATATTAGAGTTGGGTTGGAATATATATTATATGCCATTCCATTTCTATCTTCAATCTGATATGAGACACAGGTTTAAAGGTACAAAGCCAAATTATAGAAAAGAAACTCTGAAAGAACTTTTGTTTTTTGAGTAGTATATGTGTGAAAAACTATACAAAAGTTGCAGCCCTTATGCTTACTAAAAAACAGCAAAGGGACTTGAAGTTCCTATACTTATTAACAACCTACTGCTAAATATAATCAAGCAGTGAACCTCCAATTACCTAACAGAGGAAACCTGATCAAAATACAGAACACCAAAGCAAGAGCTTCAGTCAGTCTCAAGCTCCTGCTAATCATACTAGAGTAAATAATATGCTTCTAACTGTTTCCCACCGGTAAACTGCACAAGTAAATAATATGAATCATAGAGAGAGATTTGATAAGGACTTTTTTTTATTTTTTATTTTTAACGGTAAAGCAAATTTATTGATCAGAAGAGAAGATGACCCAATAAAGAATTGGCCCCAAACAGACACCCCTGCAAACTCAAAACCCATGAAGCCCAACCAAAATTTCAAACAATCAGTTTCACAAACTTGGGAAAAAATCCTCTCCGGGCACCCTCTCAGTGGAGGGTGTCCAGTGCTGACATGGTGGCATGACATGGCAGGTTAGTAAAAAAAGTATTTACTTTACTTATGTATATACCACTACGTATGTATGTGCAGAAGAAGTTTATACAAATACGAGCTTAAATTTCCCTCCAAATACTGTTGCTTCTTTTCCCCCCAAATTCTCAGATCTTATTCCTCCGAAAAGTAAAATGTTTGTATCATTATTTGTGTCTGAAATTCTGCCCTCTCTCCCTCTGTAATTGAAGTCATGAAGAATCCGGTGACTGACCAATATTCCAGCGGCTGATCAACAATCCGGCCAACGTTGAAGCTATTGAAATGGTCTCTCTCCCTCTTAAATTGAAGTCTGAAGTCTCTGGCGAAAGATGCTTCGTTTATGCCTCTCTTCTTCTAAAATTCAGCTCGCCGTCTGAAATTGAAGCTTGGTTTAGGTCTGTCTCCCTCTGTCTCCCCAAAAGTAAAATGTTTATTCACAAATTTTGTATCATTATTTGTGTTTGAAATTTTTTTGTATCATTATGAAGAATTCAGTGACTGACGACTGAAGGTGAAGCTTTTGAAATGGTTTGTCTATCCGGCGAATGACTAAGCTTCGTTCAGGTGTTTCTCCGTCTGAAATTGAAGTGTGAAGAATCTGGCCAAAGACCAAGCTTCATTGACGTCTCTCTTCCTCGGAAATTCAATTCTCCCTCTGAAATTGAAGCTTCCAAGCTTCGTTCAGGTGTTTCTCCCTCTAAAATTGAAGTCTGAAGAATTCGGCCAAAGACCAAGCTTCGTTCACGTCTCTCTTCCTCTGAAATTCAACTCAAGCTTCCTACACATTGTCCGTCTTCAAAGAAGCATATATATTTGTACAAGAATTTGGTTTGTCTGTTTTTCTGCATTTTTTAAAATTTCAGTGAAGCTAAATTTTACTTTCTTTGTTGTTCTGCATATGTATCTTAAATTTGCAGAGTCTATAGTTATATTTACATATTATTTATAAGTGTATTTTACATGGTATAATCACTGACTTTGTGATATATTACTAATTTTGTTTTATATTTGGGGTATGAAATACAAAACCCCTGAATTATATACGATTCAATGAAGACACAAAAAAACAGTGTGAGAAAGATAATATTTTTTGCAGTGGACATATGTGTTTACATATAATTGATAAGTCTATTTGTCATCTGATTATACTAATTGAAATTGTGATGTATTAGGGCATTTGTTTTATATTTGGTTTTTGAAATAACTCCTGAATTAATTTTGATCCAATAAATTAAGACACAACAAAACAGTGTAGAGTGTGATAATATTTATAACAGTGTAGATATGTGTTTACATGTAATTTATAACCCTATTTTATATGTGATTATAGTAATTGAATTTGTGGTTATAGCAATTGTTAGTGTGATATATTTTGTATGATATGTTCATATTAGTGGTGCCACATGTTCAAAAAGTATATGAATGTGTGGACATACATTATATGACTCTATCTGTTAAAATCAGGTGAAGATGTTAGGTTAAAGATGTGATATTTTATTTTTTAAACTGTTGACACTTCTGATGTTTAAGATTATGTTCTCCACTTCAGAAGTTCATTTGCTTCCCACATTAAATGATTGTCTTTTATGAGGTTCAGTTGAAGTACGTTAGGAATTATTTTGTATGACATCGTCATATAAGTAGTACCACATGTTGGAAAAGTGTATGAATAGATGTTAGGTAAAAGATATGATTTTTTTTTTTATTAAACTGTTGACACCTGTTTGTATAGGGTTAAGTTGTTCAATTGTAAAATTCATTTGCTTCCCATTTTAAATGCGTCTATGAGTTTCAGTTAAAGTATGTGAGGAATAATTTTGTATGACATGTTCATATAAGTGGTGGCACATGTTGGAAAAGTGTATGAACAGATGTTAGCTAAAAGATGTAATGGTTTATTTATTAAACTGTTGACATTTGTTTGTAAAAGGTTATATTATTTAGTTCAAAAGTGCATTTGTTTCCCACATGAAATAATTTGCCTTTATGAGGTTCAGTTGAAGTATGTTAGGAATAATTTTGTATGACATGTCCATATAAGTGGTGCCACATGTTGGAAAAATATATGAATGTGTGCACATGTATTATATTACTCAATCTATTAAATTCGGGTCATGATGTTAGGTAAAAGTTGTGATAGTTTATTCATTATATTTATGACACCTATTTGTAAAAGGTTATGTTGTTGAGTTGAAAAGTGCACGTGCTTCCCACTTGAAATGATTTGCCTTAATGAGAATCAGCTGATGTATGTTAGGAATAATTTTGTATGATATATCCATATAAGTGGTGCCACATGTTGGAAAAGTGTATGAATATGTGCACATGAATTATATTACTCAATCTGTTAAATTCAGGTCATGATGTTAGGTAAAAATTGTAATAGTTTATTCATTACATTGTTGACACCTGTTTATAAAAGGTTATGTTGTTGAGTTGAAAAGTGCATTTGTTCCGCACTTGAAATGATTTGCCTTAATAAGGTTCAGTTGATATATGTTAGGAATAATTTTTTATAACATGTCCATATAAGTGGTGCCACATATTGGAAAAGTGTATGAATGTGTGCTCATAAATTATATTACTCAATGTATGAAAATCAGGTCATAATGTTAGGTAAAAGTTAAAGTTGTGATAGTTTATTCATTATACTGTTGACATGTGTTTGTAAAAGGTTATGTTGTTGAGTTCAAAAGTTGTGATTATATGTTAGGAATAATTTTGTATGACATGGTCATATATGTTGTGGCACATGTTGGAAAAGTGTATAAATGTGTGGATTTACATTATATTACTATATCTGTTAAAATCAGGTGAAGATGTTAGGTGAAAGATGTGATGGTATATTTATTAAACTGTTGACAGCTGTTTGTAAAAGGTTATGCTATCCAATTAAAGATGTGATGGTGTATTTATTAAAATGTTGACACCTGTTTGTAAAAGGTTATGCTGTCCAGTTCAAAAGTTTTTTTGGTTCCCACTTTAAATGCTTTTCATTTATGAGGTTAGTTGAAGTATGTTAGGAATAATTTTGTATGACATGTTCATATAAGTGGTGCCACATGTTAGAAAAGTGTATGAATATATGTTACATAAAAAATGTGATGGTTTATTCAGTAAAGTCTTAACACCTGTTTCTAAAAGGTTATATTGTTCAACTCAAAAGTTCATTTGCTTCCCACATGTTTCACAAGTGTATGAAAGTGTGGATATGCATTATATTACTGTATCACTTAAATTCATGTCAAGATGGTACTTAGAAGATATGATGATTTATTTATTAAAGTGTTGATATGTTATTCAGTGCAAAACTTCATTTGATTCCCACTATAAATGAATTGCCTTTATGAGGGTCTGTTGAAGTATGTTAGGTTTTTTTTGTATGATAACTTCATATAAGTACTGCCACATGTTGGAGATGTGTATGCATATGATGTGCAGATGTTAGGTAAAATATTTGATGTTATATTTATTAAAATGTTGCTACATGTTAGTGAAATGTGGTGATAGTTGAACTATGCTAATCCTTACGTGTTATGCTTATATTTGTAGGTTTTATATTTAAGTTATGGCCATGGAAGATGGAACTATTAATATTGAAGATATGGAAGATGGAACTATTAATATTGAAGAAACAGATAGCGAATCAGATTCTGAGGTAAATGAAGTACAATGGAAACCATGTCTTGAAATGGAGTTTGATTCTGTAGATGCGGCGTATTATTTTTACAACAATTATGGTGGCAGAGCCGGTTTTAGTATTCGGAAGGAGTATGCAAATAAAAGTCGGAAGAATGGAAAAATAACATGTAGGTTGTTTGTTTGTAACAAGGAGGGTTTAAGAGGTAAGGACAAGAGAGACGAAAAAATAAAGAAACTAAGGGTTGAAACACACACAAACTGTGGTGCACACATGTTAGTAAGGTATGATGTGGGTTTGCAAAAGTTCGTTGTAAAGCAGTTTGAAGAAAGTCACAACCATCCCCTCATCATGCAGCAGTGCACCCACATGATGCCATCACAGCTAAAAATCAGCTCAGTGCAAGGTATTGAGTGGAGTTGGCTTGTGATTCTGGAATAGCAGTTCGTAAAGCCTTCGAATTAAGCTCCAGGTAGAGAAGCAATTGGCTACACCAAGGTTGATGTGCAAAATTATATTAGGACAAGAAGGCAGAATGAGCTAGAGTGTGGAGTGGCGGGTTGGCTCATGAATTATTTCCAAACTCAGTCATGGGAAGATCCATCATTTTTTCATGTTGTCCAACTGGACAAAGATACAATGATAACTAATATTTTTTGGGCGGATTCGAAAATGATATCAGATTATGGCCATTTTGGAGATGTGGTTACATTTGATACAACGTACAAACTTATTCAAGGTAACAGGCCTTTGGGTGTTTTTCTTGGTTTGAACCATCATCGGCAGACATGTGTGCTTGGTGCCACTTTCATGTATGATGAGATGGCGGATTCGTTTGCTTGGTTGTTTAACACATTCTTGAATGGAATGTCCTGTAAAGTGCCCAGGACAGTATTGACTGACAAAGACGTAGCAATGGCAAAGGCATTAGCAGAAGTAATGCCCGACACAAATCACCATCTGTGTACGTGGCACCTTATGCTTAATGCACAAAAGCATATCGGCAACATGTCTGTTGGTGGGAAAGGTATAAAAAGTGTGATCTCCAAATTAATGTTTGACATTGAGGAGCATGATGAGTTTTTATAGGAATGGTCTTTGATGGAAAGGGAATTTGGTGTGGAGAATAATATATGGTTAGCTAACTTGTTTCGTTTGAAACATATATGGGCCAAGACATACATAAAAAATTTATAGTCTGCTGGTATGCGTACCATACAGCTAAGTGAAAGTTTCAACAATGGGTTGAAACAGTACTTATCTAGATAATATGCACTTCCAGATTTCTTCAAGCATTTCGACACGTTGTTGTACGACAAGAGGTACAAGGTGTATGAAGCTGAATATGATTTGGTCCAGAAGATGCCTAGGATGAAAGCAAGATTTCCCATATTAGATCACGCCGGACATGTATACACTGCTAACATATTTGATCTTTTTCAGGAACAATTATTAATAGCTTGTATGAGTCAGTATATTCTGAACTGCAATGACAATGGTAACGGGGAATATATGTATGAAGTTGCGCTGTATAATCAGAAGGTGATACGACAAGTGATACGGACACGTAACAACCATTTGTCTTGTTTTTATGGAAAGTTTAAAATGGAGGGTGTCATGTGCAGCTATACTCTGCAAGTCCTCAGAGATAAGATGTGTGCGAGCAAAATACCGAGTCGATATGTTTTGAAAAGGTGGACAAGAAATGCGAAGGACGGCAGGTTGGAAGAATTAATTGGCACAGATATGCTGACAGATCCTAGACTTGAGATGAGATGACGGCACAGAATACTTTGTTGTCAGCTCATAGAAATATCTTCCATTGCATCTCTTAGCCACGACGGATTCAATAATGTTTTGATGTAGCTTAGTAGTTTGAAGCAAATTGCCGAAGGATCAATACCTAATCCTACGGCTGCCACCAAAGACATTATGCTAAGCATTCCAATTTTGAATCCAAAGGGGATAGCCACCAAAGATACATCGAAAGGAAGAAGGCATAGGTTCGTATTTGTGTTGGAAAAAACCACTAGAAAGAAGAAAAAGACTGACAACCGTAATTTAGAGGTACATGCCCTTAGCCTTATTATGTATGTATTTAGCTTTATGTTCGTGGTTTTACTCTATTATGTTTATCGTTTTATCTCTATTGTCATTATACAATTTTTAAACAACAAACTCCTCATATCGTGTTATATAGAATTCCAATGGTTGCGTTGTTACCAGAGTGGCAGGTTGCAGTGCTGGTATTACCACCACTTCATATATTTTACACAATGTGAGTGTTCTTCTAAGTTTCACCTATCCAAAATTATATGTACATCATAACACTTGAGTTGATGGTTTGATTGTTTGAAGGGTGCTCATCACACATATTCATGTCCGAAGAATTTGATAGGGCAGGACCTTCAACACAATCCCAGGAATATGAGAATAGCCCCCGTGCAGCTTATTTTGGTGAACCCATGACTCCATTAACTAACCTGCTTGCAAGTGAATCAGTAATGACCCCATCAGCATATAAAGAACCATTCACGTTGAAACTGGTAAGTGTATATTATATGCATAAAGCCCAAATTTTTAATAAATTTGCTGTTGAAATTGCAAACAACTGATGTATTATTTTTTTAAAATCATGATAGTAAAAGGAAGTTCATGTAGAAGGTGTATGCCAATCGAATGTTGCCCCAATGTCCCCTGTGCCAATGGCAAACATGAATCAGATATGTCACCAACAACAGTGTCAGAAATAGGCAGAACAGAACATTCTGAAGGACATAAAAATTTGGTGCAGTTATTTCTTTTGCTACAAATATGTTATTAATGAACATATATGAACTTAAATCTTTTGCTTCTATGTGATCTTAGAATGACTTTTGATACTTTATTTATATAGATTGCATTTGTTATTGCACCTTAAATAATTCGGTTTGTGAAGTTGTTGGTAAGAACTGTAAAGAGTCTATGGTTTGTTTGGACAATTACTTTGCACCTACATTGGTAGTTGTGTGGACAATTAATTACGGATTGGTAAGAACATTAAAGAGGTGAGTTATGTTTACCCATTGCTGAACTTGAAGTTTAAATATTCAGGAATTCTTCATCCCCATATCCTTCGTCTCATATTCACATCACATATTCTGTATAAGCAATGGGTGCACGTCAGTTTATGTTGTTTTCAAGGGCCGGAATATGGGTATATATAGGAAGTTGGCAGACACGAGGGTATCCTGATGCAAAGTATTATCCTTATACTAGTAATGCAGACGTTGTTGAGGCCTTCAGCAGATGGAATACCCACTGCCATGCTGAAGTGGTAAAAAGTGAAGGTGAGGTAGTACAAGATATTCAACCTCATGCAGGCCGTCCACCTCCACAGGTGTCTCAAGCTGAATGGCAACCGGAACAACTTATTAAGTATGAGGAGTTAACAAATGCGAGGAGTGTAATTGTTGCAGAGTGTAGACGAGCAGGTCTAGCCATTCCAAGACCACGTTCACTTGAAATGAAGCTGGCAGGTACATCAGATATGAACTCCATCATTGGTCAGATTAACCGTGAAATCCATCAACTTTATCTGAGATGGTGTAAGGTAGAGAAAGTGAATGAAGCTAAACAAACATATGAGGATCCAGCTGAACAAATTGCCTCCATTTTGAATGACCCAGATCTGAAATCAGATTCTGATTTGTCGGATTTTTCTGACCCGGGAGATGACGACTTTGTTATTCCACCTCCAAGATATGGTAGAAAGAAATAATGTAAGTGGATGTATGTTAAATTATTTCTAGAGTTGTACCTTTATTGTAATACTTATTTTCAAATTAAAGTGGAAACTTCTATCTTAGCCTTGTAACCGTTGTTATATTGAAACCATTTGGGTAATTATAACTGCCCTAGGCAACGTTTAAAGGTAAATTTATGCATCTATTTATATCGCCATCCTCTACGCCATATGCAGACACTGCATATATTCGAAAACCATGGATGTTGTTCTACATACTGCGATTGAAGATGTGGTTAGACGAGTTAAGGCTATAGCTTTTAGAAATAGTCAGGAGAAGCATGCATGGTGAGTTATGTTTCAGTTTATAGTTTACAATTTACATGCATTCTCGGCTTATGGGTCTATATTCCTAAAGTGAGACATATGGGTGTTGTACGTATTGAAAATGAAGGGAAATGGCAGAACTGGGCACTAGACCATGGACGATAGGTCTACAGGGATACGATGCAACAATTGAATTAGTTGCACGTAATGGGCCAGATGAAAGTATCCCAACAAGACGTATATACCTGGAACAATGTTTTCAATCTCGGGATCATGTTGCAAAGTTTAATAGAGGAGTGGTATGTTTCCTAAAATCATGTGTACTCTTTTACGCATTACACTTTATTTATTTGTATAGTCTAATATGCAAAAAAATTTGCACAGGTTGATTGTATTGTTTACAATGAAAAAATAGGGTTGGCTTTCCTCCGTACAAATGGTTACGTGTCCCTCTATCCTATGTGTATTGCCTTATTGTTTTCCAATGAAGCGGACAAAGAGGCGGGGATTAATTTATTAACGTTGTTGAGGACAAATTCAATACTTAGCACTTGTATCAAGTCTGCCCGTAGAAAGATGTTAACAATTATTGAGAGGACTTCTTCCCGCAATCATTCATTATTTACGCATGTTCCAAAATGTTGTCCCGAATGCAACCATATTGATTGGCATTGCTGTATCCTTAACGAGGATCTCATCAATTGTAATCGTTGTTGGTGTGATTTAAATATCATAGTTTTGCAAGGTCGTCTTTCACAACATCACATAGAATGATTATTTGGGTAGTTGTGTAATTTGAATGGGTAACACACAGTGGACTTTCGCCACATCAGAATGGACTTTCTTCATGTATTCAAGTTTACGAATTATAGAATAATGCATGATGAAAGTGATGTAGCAAAATTTAATATTTGTAATTGTTATATAATTTTTGTATGGAGATGTTATTTTGAAAGTGGCATCATAACATTTGAATAACCAGTGCCACAAGTATATTGTATATCATATAGGTATATATTTTAAACACATGTCACAACAATTTGTTAGACGTACATAACATAACATATGTCACAACTTTATATATGTTTTAAACATTTGTCACAACTACATAACATTTAAGTAAAATATTAGAAGAACACCATGAAAACCACAAAACACTTCCAAACTTCCAAGTCATAGTAGTAGATAGATCAAAAGCAGGTAGCTAATAGATAACCTATTTCCTCTGTTTCAAAGAAAACAATCATCGTTTGACAGAGATATTTCAATTCAAACATCCTTGTCATATCTGAATCGCTGCTGAGCACCATTCTGTCTAGTAAGGAAGGGATAAAAGCATATACGTTCATGGCAAAAGGATGTGGAATTGTACGAATGAATGACAGTCCACACAAATCTTCTAAAAATTTCTAGTAACCATAATTTTCTGGGTCCACATCTCTGATTTCACCAATACGTAGACCATAGTGAACAAGAATGGAAACCATGCCACCAATCCAATCTGAAAAGTGCGTACACAAAACTAAATACTTAAGTGGTCAGACTAAAAAGTATAATTTATATATGCACAGTTAAGATACAAATATTATACTTAACATAGGAACACTCACCAACTTCTTGATGAAGCTGCCTTCCTATTTGGGTTGCAAGAAGCTGTGTTGGATTTTTATGGTTGAATAATATATATTCAGTAAACTGAATAGGAATAAGTAGTTGGGCACCATTAACTTTTCATTTATACCCAACAACTCCATTGAATGCATCATTTCCACTCTGTTTTGCCGAACAACTAATTCAACGTAGCTGCATCGTTCCTTTTGCCACACAAACTTCTCTAATGCTTCTCTGTCTGATGTATCTCTCAATGTATTTATGTTCCCAACTTGTTTCTACCCAACAGGGCTTTTGTTCCCAACTCGTTTCTATTTCTTTCTCTCTGCATTGATTTGTCGGAATACAAACCCACTTTGGCAAGATATACTCAAATGAATAGAAACATTATTTTATTCTGATCAAAACCAAGTATTAAAACCACTTTGAAAACTGAGCCGGTTGACCCTTCAATTTGAACCGTTACAAAATGAACCATTAAAGAGTCGTTCTCAACACACAGACACACACACAGTTCCATGTATATATATATAGATATATGTATACAAAGAACCAGAAACAGAGACACAATCCGAAATCCATAGCCTTAAAACCTCAGTCTTATTCCACTTTTCTCTAACAAAAGATTTGTGTACTCTCTCTCTTTGGTCTAAGGTCTCTACTTTGTTTACTGCGTATTTATAGCAAGTGTCTTCAATGGCGTCATTGAGCAGCAGTGGAGTACGTCGTAGAGGTGATGTTGACTATTCAATTTGTTTATGTGGAGAACGGAGTCGTTTGCATGTTTCAAAGACCAAAGAGAATCCAAGGAGGCAATTCTTCAACTGTGCAGAAAGGCGTTTTTTTTTTTTTTTTTTTTTTTTTTTTTTTTTGTAGATCGATCCACCATCCATGGTTGAAAACGTTGTTGCTCGTGCACCAACAACTACTGTAGATGCCGATCTTCTAAATATACATTTATCTATCGCAAAAGCTTTGTTTATTTTTTTTTTCTTACAGGCCCGATTTTTTTAGGATTGGTAGTGATTTTACTCATGCAGGTGTTGTTGCGTAAATGAAATATTCGGATTCATGTTAGGAAATAATTCATATGTTATGCCCAATTATTTTGTAACGC